ACACTCACACACACACACACACACGCCACACCTATGTACATGCATGCGATATATATATATATATATATACACACACGTGTAGATTTTTTTAACTTATGTTTATGCTTGCATGCTTACTGCATACATACGACAGGAAGACAGACATACATGCATGCATGCATACATACATGCATGCATGCATACGCCGTCTTGAGCCCAACGCAAGCATTTCGTCATGACGAGTGGCCGGGCTCTCCGTCCCCGAGGCCACAGGCTTTCACCTAAGAACCCATCGGGGGCCAGGATCACGCGGCTAAGATAAGCACCGTCAGAGTGACACCAGTGTTCTTATGGATTAGGGTTTAGGGTTTAGGGTTTAGGGCTACCAAAACACTCTTACCCTTACATACACTACTGTCAACATTTTAAACAAACACCCAAAGGGACTTGCCTCCTTTGCAGGGACCCTTGTAAGTGAAATGATAGAACCCCCCGAAATAGGAAACCTATCTCCCTCCTTGGCGTCCTAGTATCCCTTACACTGACTATGGATCATATATGCACAGAGAGGCTACGTTTTAGAACTTTGAGGTTCAGGGTTCGGGTGTACAGTTAAAGGTCTCAAGATGGGGCTTAAGTTAGGGCTCGAAATTACAACCATTTGGTTTAGGGTTTAGGGTTTAGGGTTTAGGCATCACACAACTATAATTAAGTCTCCCTTACTTCCCCAAGAAGCCCGGGAAAATAAAGGCTGAGCTTTCAGATATCTACTACATTATAAGATCCCAAGAACGTCTAAAGGTTGGCTATTGGAGAACTAAACTCCTGGAATCGCCTTGATGTTGGCTGGCGCTACGACATGAAGGCCCCTTTGCCAGGCACGATGAAGTTGCCCTAACCTCCCAGGTACCTACTATATAGGGCCCCAGGGGCTCCAGTACCCTATATTAGGTACCTGGAGGGTTCGGGTTGCAAGCTGACACGAATTTGCTGCAGCAATTCCGCAGCCTCGACCAATCAGGCTTTGCGTGTTGCGCACAGGCCGATTTCAGCGCTCGCTACAACCTAAACCCTAAACCCTGCACTACTTATATCCCCAAACCCTACAGCCCAAACTCTGACCCGGAGGACATCGCTCTGCTAAGCGTCCGAATAATGGACTTCCAACCCTACTTGCTTTGGCTGGCAGTAAAGAGCTGCAAGGCCGGAGAGCGGAGATGTTGAAATTCTAAGAGTCCCTATCCGGGCCACTGTAATAATTCTAAACTCCTAAACTCCTACACCCTAAGCCTAAGTCCAAAACCGAATTGGGCAAGCAGCAATGGTGAAGGGAATGCCGGAAGACATGATGTCAGCTTCCGCCTGGAGGTGGTAGAAGGACGTCCAGCCTGTGAGGTGCACGTTTCAGCGTTATCGGGTTCAGCGTTTTTAGTAGGAGTTCGGGTTTGGACGGTTTTAGGGCTTAGGCTTCAGGATGTATTTCAGGTTTTAGAGTTCCGGAGTTTAGCTAGTTGTACGTAAGGTGTCTCTTGGTCCGACTCCGATCCGAAGACGATGGTCTGAACAAGGCAGCAGCCTCTAGGATAATTGGAACAGGACCTTGCGGCGCTTCACAGTGCAGCTAGAAGGGAATGCTCTTACTCGCTACGAAGACTAAGACTACTTGAAGGATCATGGGACTTAGTGACCAAGGTTATTATTAGGGTGACTATACTTCTCACTACGTATAACCCCAATTTAAGGTACAAGTAACCATACTACTAATTCCCATGATCCACCAAGTAGTTGTTCCAACCTCTAAACTACGATCACCATGCATTGCTCTGTACCGTATTAGTGGTATTGAGTTCTGGCCTGCATACGGCAAACTGAAGCCCCAAAACAGCACGTTGCAACTGTACCTCTGAAAGTCATACAACTGTTAGTAGTGGTGCTCTTATTCGTATTGAAGTTAACATTGGTTGATGTCGTACTGAACTTGTACTAGTGTGGGTATGTATGGTCTTTTGGTACAGGGAATCCAACGGTCCGATGGCCGCATGCCTTTGTCGAGCTTGTCCAGGAAATTGTCCGGAGTGGTCGTGCCCATGGTGCTCACATACAGCAGCTGCTTTGTGGCCATGCTGCCGCCAGAGAAGCCAAAGGCATCAATCTGCGCCTGGAAGACACCGTGTCATTACACACCCTTACCCTAACCCCCAGGTACCTACTATATATGGTAGGTACCTGGAGGGTTAGGGTAAGGTCTGGGCACTCTACGACTTCCATGGTTTTGGGTTTAGGGGTCTTCATGACCCGGCTCGTGTGTGGACATGATTATGCTACCTTAAAGGCAGTGACACATGTCTGTAATCGGGGCGTCCAGGAAAAAGAGTGTAATTCGAAACTGAGCAACTCACTTGAGATCGTGGCTTTCATCTTGACAACGGGATGCACAGCTGGAAGATCGTTCAAAGCGATGGAACTGGACAGGTGTTCCAAATCAGACTCTCATTTGTGATGTTTTTGTACAGTAAGCTCGGACGCTTGCACCAAGAATGTCTTGGCAAGTTTGGTGGATACTTACCCTGAACCCTAAACCCTAAACCCTAAACCCTGAACCCTAAACCCTGAACCCTAGGCTTGATCCGTTTGCCTTCGTGCCAAGCCAGTCCACTTCTTTGGGCTCGCCGCCTTTGGGATAGTGGCCTCGGTCAAACCCCTCAGCAGTCGGTTTAGGGTTGAGGGTTTAGGGTTTAGGGTATACTACAACTCAGCCAAAACCCTATTCTAACTCCTCGTAGGCCCTAGTATAGTAGACCCTCAAACCCCATGCTTGACCGTAGTTCCTGTTTGTTCACCAAGCGCGTGAAAGCTATAAGCGCAGTCCCAGACCAGTACTATAGGGGCCCTTATAATAATTAGAAATGAGGTCTGGGGGAGGGGGGGGGGGGGACATTATATACCATAATCATAATCAGGAACCACCAAAACCCTAAACCCTATTCTGATTATTACGGCCGCTACATTACCCAATTTTCGAACATGGAGTCCTACGGTTTCGGCTCCAGGGTTGGGAGGCCCGAAACCTTCAGGTTCTGGCTGGAGGGCGAAATAAATGGGCGAAATAAATGCGGCTTAGGGTTTAGGGTTTTTTGAAAAAATCTGTAAGGGTTTAGGCTGGCTTTTTTGTACGTCTAAGGTTTAGGGTTTAGGGCTTCTGTCTGAGGGCTGAAAGTCCTAGAACTCGACTCCTTCGAAACAGCTACTGCAAAGAAGGCGCAAGTGTGAGTTTCAGGCAGCTGCGGACCCTTATGAAACAAGCCTAAACAGTAAGATTTGGGCTTTTGGAGGGCAGTATGGGGGCTTTTATACCTGGAATAAGGCTTCGAACAACCCTAACCCTAAACCCTAAACCCTAAACCCTAAACCCCATGGTTGTGGAGTCGTCCAAGTCGCACTTCTTCATTGGGAAAGGCAGGCTGCCGGTGCACACCGGCACTGAGGATGTTGTGATGACCAGGGTATCAGCGCCTGCAGGTTTGGGGTTTAGGGTTTAGGGTTTAGGGTTTAGGAGTTTTTAGGGTTTAGGGTTTAGGGTTTAGGGGTTTAGGGTTTAGGGTTTAGCTTTAGGGTAGAGGGTCTTCGTTGCATAGGGATCGCTTCAAGGGGGCTTACAAAGGATGATTAGAATAGGGATCCTCTGGGGGCTCATTCAGGGGTTACTCTAACGGCAGATACTACGGCCATGAAAGCACTACCAAACAACAGGGGTCCCTTCATGACTAACGGAGGTTCGATCCCCAAATGCTTACTCAAGCATGCAAGGTTGCTCTCAGGGCTTTTAACTGTCTACTTTCAAGGTTTAGCCCTAGACCCTGAGCCCTAAACGCTTATAAACCCTAAACCCTAAACCCGTATAAACCCTAAACTCTAAACCCTTATAAACCCTAGACCCTAAACCCTTATAAACCCTAAACCCTGAGCCCCTAAACCCGGGTTTGAGGCTCCAGCTTCCGAGGCCCAAGCCGCCTGCACCCCGCACCCCAATCCGAGTTGTACCCCGACATCACAACCATTTGGTTTAGGGTTTAGGGTTTAGGGTTGAGGGTTGAGGCTTTAGGGTTTAGGATTTAGGGTTGAGGGTTTAGGGTTGAGGGTTGAGGGTTTAGGGTTTAGGGTTTAGGGTTTAGGGTTTTGTGTTTAGGTTTTAGGGTTTAGGATTGAGGGTTTAGGGTTTAGGGTTTAGACTCCAAACCTGAGACCCCTAATAGAGGGGCCTTAATAATTAGAATAGGTCCATTGTACCATAATTTTAATAAGGAGCCCCCCAAATAGTATTGGTAATTATTTAGGCCCCTTATGTTAACCCTGAAACCAAAGTAGAAGCCAGAAAGAAGGCAAAAACGGGTAATCCAACCAAACAGCACACATCCTTATCCCGAGTTCCCACTTTCTGGAGTTCGTGGTGTCTAGGGCCCGACAGTCCTGCCTGCCATTACGGCTTTCAGTGTCTCTGGTTCAGAGACATCGCCAACAAAGATACCCTCGGTCTCATTGCAGGAGGTGCAGCCAAGCACTGCTTTGGCCTTTGTCGCCTCGGTTTGTGCAGGTTATTATCAGTTTCGTTGTATCCGTAGGGGCCAACATGACGCCTAGTGATGGTTCTGGGCTAGGCATGTTGGCAGTCCTTGCCTTCACAAGAATTCCCGCCTACCCTCCACCTCCATAATACGCGCTAGAACTCACAGGTACGATGGAACAAAAACACCTGTCAGACTTCGCATACCTGAGAAACTCTCGGCACCTGAATCACCCACTTAGGCTCCCCAAGCCTCGAGCTGCATCGAAAGGCTTTCGATATCAGAATCTTCATGATATTGCATGCTCGGATGCCTCAAACTCTGCAGTTTCAGAGCTCAAGCATCAACGTCCACAACCCATGTCTGTGCTGTGCCTTTTCCCCAAACCCTAAACCCTGTGCACTAAACCTTAAATTCTAAACCCTAATACCTAATCCCTAAACCCTAAACCCTAAACCCTAATCCCTAATCCCTAAACCCCAAACCCTAAACCCTGTGCCCTAAACCATAAACTCTAAACACTAAACCCTTGTGGAACTTCGAGCTTGGCCCCTGAGACATTGACGGCTTCGTACACTCTGGAGCTTCGGTTTTGGGACTCAGGGTGTACCTAAACCCTAAACACTAAACCCTAGACACCAAACCCTAAACGGTTTAGGGTTTAGGGTTTAGGGTTTAGGGTTTAGGGTTTAGGGTTTAGGGTAAAACCCTAAACCCTAAATCCTAATCCCTAAACCCTAAACCCCACAGGCTTTAGGCTTTTGGACCTATGGCTCGGGTGGGCCTTGGGTTGAGGACTCGGCTTTTGGGGCAGATGTCTTTTAGCCATGCCGCGTTCCGCACAAAGGCCCTGACCTCATACTGCCCGGTGGCCTGCCAGGTTAGGATTTAGGGTTTAGGGTGTTCGATTTAAGGGTTTAAGGGCTTAGGGGTTAAGGGTTTAGGGTTTTAATTAGGATTTAGGGGTTAAGGATTTCAGACAAGATGGCCTTACAGGGTTCAGGGCTTGAGGTGTCAGCTTTAGGGTTTACCTGGGTTCTGTATGCGCAGATGTGAACTGCTCTGATCACGACCAGCTGCTGGGTCCTTTGCATGTTCGTTGAGTTGACATCTTCCGCGACACTTCATAACAACATCTGGAACTTATCAAAGCAATTTAGTTGACGATGAGGACACGGCAAACGCGAACTTTCGGCCAAACCCTAACCTGTTCACAAACATGTGAGGTCAGTAGGAGCCAAGTTAACTGGAAGCACGGCTACTTTTAAACATACCCCACAAGTACTGTCTCAACCCTATGAGCGAACAAAAACAAACGTGTATGCCCTGGACCTAAGCTTTCGACCGAAACCCTAAATCCTAACCCCGAAGCGCTAAACCCCAAACCCTAAACCCCTAAACCCTAAACCCTAAACTAAACCTGCAAAAAACACATCTGGGAGATCCAGCCTTCAGATCTTTGTAAACGAGCGACCCCGTGCGCCCAGTGGCACCGCTGACGACGACAGCAGGCTTAGTAGCCCATACCTGCCTGAGAAGGTTTAGGGTTTAGGGACTCAGTAGCCCATACCTGCCTGAGAAGGCTTAGGGTTTAGGGACTCAGTAGCCCATACCTGCCTGAGAAGGCTTGGGGTCTAGGGTTTAGGGTCTTATGAGCCCATGCCTGGCTTGGCTGAGAGGGTTTCGAATAATTGGGTATACTTGGGGGATTCGTTAGAATGCTATTTCAGAAGGGCTACTCCCACGGTTCTATAAGGGTTCTATGAGATCGGGGCATAGTCTACGATCATATATAGGGGCTACTACCCCTAAACCCTAAACCCTAAACCCTAAACCCCAAACCCTTCTGTTCGCAGGCTCCTTGGGCTCAGGGTATTGGGCTTTGGGGTTTAGGGCCTAGGGTTGTCCCAGACCGTAGGGTTTAGGGTTTAGGGTTTAGGGTTTAGGGTTTAGGGTTTAGGGTTTAACAGACCTATACTCCAGAGAAACCCTTAGGCCATAACCTAAACCCTAAACCCTAAACACTAAATCCTAAACCCTAAAACCCCCTAAACCCTAAACTCTAAAGAAACCCTTAAGCCCTTAGCTCTATAAACTACCCTAAAGAACGGAGGCGTACCTTGGTAGTAGAGGAGGCTCAGGCCAGCCGAGGGACATCGAGGGTTCAAGTCCAGTTCGGGTTTCGGGCGTAGGGTTTAGGGTTTAGGGATTAGGGTTTAGGGTTTTAGGGTTTAGGTTGTTTTTCAAATTGGGCGTTTTGGGGCTTAGTTTGTTTATTGCTTAGTTCTCTGGCGTCTGTGTGGTTTTTACGTCTTCTGTTTATATACGTTACGTGGCCTAGGGTGCAGGGGATTTAGGGTTTGTGGGCTTTTGACAGCCTTTGGAAGCAAGCTTCTTTTGGGCGTTATGGAATAATTACGGTTTCACGGCCGTGGGGCTTCGAGGTTATACGTCACGGCACAACTCGCTATTAGGGTTTATGGGTTTAGGGGTTTAGCGTTAGGGGTTCAGGGCTTTAGGGCTTTGGGTTTAATAAGAGGTTTACTGTTCAAGGTTTTCGACGGTTGCTGAGCGATTGACGGTGGTGAAGTTTATCTCTTCGATTTCCGTATCTGCTGTCATTGGGTGGTGACCTAAACCCCTCCGTCAGGGCCAAAGCTGCACTGCGCAAAGGTACCGTCCAATAGCTGCCACGTGAGCTATCCCTAACCCCCAAGGTACCGACTATATAATAACTCTAGGGGCTCTAGTACCCTATATAGTAGGTACCTGCGGGGTTAGGGTATTTTCACGGAGCACTTGTCGATAACTTACAGTTCAGCGACTTCATCACCCTGAACCCGACCAGCTGTCAAGACCATCTCTTGAAGGAGGTTAGACCTTAAGCGTTGTTGGGATTTGATGAGGCTTCCGGCCGGCTCGCCTGTAAAACAATCCTTGAACCCTGAAGCCCATACTGCCGGCTCCAGTGCTTCTTACTGTATCGTTGTGTTCTTAGCGAAGCTTTGGGTGCGCACCTTTGGGACCTTTGTTGAATGAAGCCGTGTTCTTGCGACGTCTGCAGCTTTGGAACGTTGGCTCTAACTGAACCCTCAACCCTAAACCCCTAAACCCCTAACCCCTAAACCTGTAAGAAACCCTAAACCCTAAACCCCGAAACCCTAAACCCCATAACCCCTAAACCCCTAAACCCTAAACCCTAAACCCCTAAGAAACCCTAAACCTCTACACCCTTTGCATGTCAGATTGCTGCAAAAGGAAACCAGCCAGGAGAGGAGCGACAGCTCGCATGGTGCCTAAAGATCTGCAGTAGAGTGGGACCCCGGAGGTCTGAGCCGACACGGCTTTGGGGTTTAGGGTTTAGG